ATAACCATAATGATGTCATAGTGATGTCACCAGCGTTATCTCAGGATTAACACACTTTACAAACTTCATTCATGGGGTTTGAAAAATGTGGAATTGACCAAAGAGGGAACACATTTAGCATTATGAGAAATGTAGGATCCAGCATTTTTTTGGACTAAATGTCAGCCTGTGCTTGTTTAGTTTTGACCAATATTGATATAAATTGATAGAATCAATCCAGCTGTACATAATGGGAATGTTCATCCAGATTTTAAAAAGCTTTTCTCTAAGAATCTGAGATTGGCATTCACATTTATAAGACTGCATTTTAGACAAAACCAACATGAGCCTTTTGAAATATTCCCGTGCTACACTAATGCTTTTCCCTGATGCCAAACAGTGGGTGTATTGGTTAAAGACGAGGTGTGGAGGGAAACAGAAATAGCTCATATGTATCTCAAGTTAAATCATTGATCAGGTTTGTAAGAGGAATCTGAAAGCTGTGGTTGAATGTAACGCTTCGGATCAAAGGCAAGAGAATATGTTAATAATGATACAAAAGCCCGGGTGTCTCTTCCTCGCGATTCAGAGATGGATTTACAGCCTTATTTTTGGATCGAAAGATAAATATTTAATCAGTCTGCAAACCCATAGTGTGAGGAAACAGCCTTGTGACTAGCTTTAAGGCAACGAGCAATAATTCCTGACCGTTTCTGTTTGATGTTTGTTACTGAGAGAAGAAAGGACATTATACGTCTGTTTATTACAATAAAGTATCCCTGACGATGGAAGGAAACAATATTTGACTCTTGGTTTCAAAAGACATGGTTATCCTAATGTTCAGTTATGCTTCTTTTCCATCTGGTACTGACTTAGTGAGGATGCTTTTGGGTTCACCAATCATTAGTCTCTATTTGACCATGTGACAAGACGATTCACTCTTCAAGAACATCTCCGTAAAATACATGTTTTATTTACGTTTTTTCCGATTTTGGTTCTGATTGATTCTGAATAACTATAAGGCCGGTCCTTAGCATGCACTGGGATAACGAGTTCAGTTATTGATATGTTTAAATGCTTTATTATCAGATGTTTTCATCCAGATAGGGCATCTTTATACCAATAACATACCTATAGGTATAGTATGGAGGGAATGGAGCCCACTTTGACACAAACAGCCCCCCACCTGTATCGCCTCCCCTCCAAATGAAAAGATTCTGGATGCTGCACTTTTCTAGTTGGTTTCCAAATTGTCCAATTACAGCGAGGTCTGGAAACTTTTAGCCCTTTCCTTTCAGGTAAACGTGTCCCTCTGCAGAAAGCGATTGGGTTTCGACTGGGCCTCAATGTGATACAGAACACCGTTTCTCTTCTTCTTTTTTTTTCATCCTGAGCGTCCGTTCCAAGAATCACAATTACACTTTTTTCCTCCTTCGTCCTCCTGAAGGATATCCAATTTTCCCTTCCTCAAAATAGTTTGTCCTCTATTTTTCCTCCGGAGATACTGTAAGATTTCCGAAATTGCCCGAGACGAGCTGCTTCCTGTGATCGATGCCTCTGAATGTCCTCCTCACGCGGCTCAATGTGTGCCGTCACTTCACCCTGAACTCCGCCTGCGCTCAGATGTAATTCAATAACCTTGTTGTGTGTTTGTGTAGCAGAGCGGCTCTCTTTGTTGTCCGTCAGTAACTGATCTTTAATTAGTCTCCCAGGATCGGGGCTTTGCATTGAAACGCCTGGAACCCTGAGCCTCTGTTATGATGATTCATGTTCTGATGAGGTGACTAATCCTCGCCTGCTGCAGATCTGCAGAGCTGTGACAGGTACAGCTTTACACTGCGCTGATGTGGTTGTCCTAATGGCCTCCCATCCAGCCTCTCTTTTTGTGCTCTCTCAGCTTTCAATTCCTCCACTCTGCAGCCTCCATGTTTTTCGATCTACAGAAACCATTTGATCTTTTAACAGATTACTTTATCTGTTTGACCTTGACATGTCCCCAGCTTGGGTAAAGGGGGGTGCATTCTCTCCAATCTGCCCCGTTAAAAAAGCCTTCTCCAGGCAAACACTCCTCACAGCGGATGTCTCTGATTATGTTCCCTTCAGCGATTTTATGCAAGTGCTTCTTAATTATAACTTTGCTCTGGATAATGAGTCTGATATCTGAAATTGGACTTTTCCATTTCTTTTATCCTTGAGTTTCATGGACGCTGTGCTGTTCTGCACATGTGCTCTCTCGCCGCTAAGCTCCACCGCCGCAGGCTTTCCACTCCATAACCAGCAGCTTCTTTATCTTAAGGGGAATAATTAAATCACAGCCCGGCGCTGAAGCATCATGAGTCTGACCTCTGCTGGTTCTTGAAAAATGTTTGAAGGAGTTCGCTTAATGCTGCTCTGCAATGTGTGTTTAATTTGTGCGACTGTTTCAAGGGTGTTACGGTCTTTTGTACGTTTGGTTGAGCTGCGGTGTGAGGGAGCCAGAGTCATATCGGGCCTGTTAATAGAGAACGGATCGTTCATGACCTGAAACTGTTTTTGGAAAGCACATTAGCATTTTCTTCTGTATTTAATCAAGCTGTAGTTATTTGGCAACCGACCGTCTGCCTTTGGGTCAAACAGTCTGGTTTTGAAGTTCCGTGACATACGCTCATATTGAGATCCTCCTAATTTGTACTTATGTACAAGGGTCAAATTAGGCATACATTACGTTATTTATACAAACATAATATGGTTAATTAAAATATAAATGAAAAAGTAAAATATAATATAGTTAGAAACATAAGAAGTTAAAGTAAGAAAGTGCAATGAAAAGATGCAATTAAATACAATATTTATATAAACATAATAAGTTAAATAATGTGCAAAATAAATAAAATGAAATAAAGATATTTATATAAAAATAAGAAGTTCAAGTAGAATGTCCATAAAAGACTAAATACAATTACAAAATATATATATAAATAAACTTAAATGTAAAAAATACAAATATTTATATAAACAGATGAACTTATCAGTCGTGAAGAAAGGTGATACAGTAATATTAATTGCAGTATTTCACATTTGTTTTTACAATGGATATTTTCACGTCTAAAGATATTGCAGTTTCACAGCGTCATGGGACTCTTTACTCCTCTCTGAACTAAGAGCAGAGAAACAGTTTTAGGTGAGTCAGCAGCTCCTGAGGCAGCTTTACAAACTGTTGGATATAAATAATAATAACCTCCTCTCACACTGTACTGCAGGGCTCTCTGCTCGAAGCATGGCAGCATAACAACAACACACTGACCAGAGGACTGACCTCCATCACTACCAAGACCAAATCAACTAAATGATCATTGAAATGTAGCTTTATTTTCCCTTGAGCAACAGTGAAGTTAATGCAGGTAACTTATGGAGTTCAGTCTTAGATCATCATAAATAACGGGAGCGTATCATTTTGTAACTCATTCCAGATCATTTCTAAATTATCACTGGCATCTGTGTTTATCCCCGAGCCCTTGACCAAACAAAATGCATTATCCCCCCTCCATGATACCAGGAGTTCAGCTCCACCTAATCCTTTTGGGTCCATACATAATCAAAAGCAACCCTAAAGGAGCAAGATATTTTTGCTGATCTTCCAGCATAACAGGGATTGAGGAAGCGGAGAGAAGGTCCATGGGAAATAAATGCTGACTGAAGAGATAGCACAGAAAGAATTGCACTCCAGGGACTCTGTTTAGGCGGGAAAGCAACAATGCAGGGCTTATAATAAAATACACTCTGGTTTATTGTTTGGGTTATTATATGACAAACTACCAGGCATCCTGTGGGAGAAGTCTCTAACTTTTTTAAATGAAAATATAACTTTGTATGTAGGGTGTTAATCTCTATATAGGGCTAAAACCACTGTGTTACCATTGGACTCCTTTGTTTACTTTTGTGACATCACTATGTAACACTCCCCCTTCTATTGGCTAAGTGGTTGACCAATCACAACAGAGCCGGCAAGCTAACCAATCAGAGTAGACTGGGCTCTGGTTTCAGACAGAGGGTAAAAAGAGGTGCTGCAGCACAGGCAGTATGAGACAAATAAAGAGCTTTTTGAATATTAAAGCATGGAAACCTCACCAAGCGCACAGAATACTAATTTGAACCTGCTGGGACCCAGAGCTTCCACCCCCAAACTAAAAATAATCAGTACATAATAAACTCGGGAACAAAACTGCAAAATCTGGACTACAAGGTACTCAATAATGAACAAAAAACAACCAAGGATAAACAAAGCACAACACAAACTAAACCAACTGAGGACTGCTCAGTCAGGCAACAGCAACAACAGAAACAGAAGCACACAGAAAGCTACAGCTCATAGCTAACAGGCAGTTTAGTAAACAGTAGTGTCACAGAGGGAAGAAGGGGGTGTGCTTTTCACTCACCCCATTTGTAGAGGAAGGCCAATCTCCTGTCTCCACATGGTGGCGAAGTGGTCAATATCTCTGTCCTAGAATCTTCCCTGCAGCCTTCAGGTCCTCCACAACATTAGAGTCAATAGATGTGTTGGCGAGCAAACTAGCTTCTGAAGTTAGCCATTCCTGCAAGACATAATTTTCATCATTAAAAGTCTGAATCCCTCCTTTTTACTATCAGTACAAAGCTATGGTAGTCTGGGAGTTGGACTCCCATACCCTTTTAATTTTGAGTTGCTATTGTAGTGGTAATTTAATTAAATATTTCCTAAAACCTCAAAATCTCCATAACTGCACGTGAATGTTATCTGCTGACGTCGTTGATGTCACTCACTACAGCGTTGATGCGATTTGATTGGTCGAAATCCACTAGTCTACAGTGAGTGCAATACTTTTTTAAATAATCAATGAAAAAGGGTAGAGATGGCTGCACAGAAGAATAAACCATTCTAAAAGACGCATTTATTGTATTGGAATCATAACGACAGTCTGAAAAAACTGAGTTTTGGGAAAAAACGCCATTTAAAGGAACGATGGCTGAGTTTAGCGCCTGTTATATTTTGAAAATCATAAGCGGATGGACTGTTTTTTCTGTTTCCGGTAAACAGGAAGTGTAGTTTTTAGGTAACAAGCTAATGTTACATGTTTACAAGGAGCAGTAACGAGTTATTTTAGCCTGTGTAGCTAACTGAGAATAACACAAATGAACATGAGTTAACACTAAAGCTGTTGACTGGGAACACGGTAAGTCTTCTCCTTCTCTTCAGCCTGACAGAGGTTAAATCCCTGTCGTTAGCTAGCCTTCATTTCTCCTTTCTCGTTGCTTCTCTGTGGTAAATCTCACTGTGGCAAAAAGTACCTTACGTCATTCATTACAAAATAAATAAACCTTACGTTATTCATAAAAAAATAAAGAAACCTTACGTCATTCATAAGTCGTAAAAAGAAACCAACATTTGTAACATAATAGGCTACATAACGACTTTGTATATACAAATAAAATACAAATGTAAATATACAATGCCTTACATTTCTTACAATTTGTTTGAATGAACTCATTAATACTGCTATTCATATTACTAATATAAATTGATATAATTGGATTGTTTGGTAAAAGAATAAGAGATATTAAATAATTAATTCACCACTTAAAGCTTATTTATACATGTATAATATGTGCTACATCAAAATCACATATGTTTTATTTATTTAGAAATTGCACGTAATATTAACTTCAAATTGGGTTTATGTCCTCTGTAAACTATATATATATATATATATATATATATATATATATATATATATTGCAATAGTTTTTAAATGCTTGA